GCGACGCTGCTCGACGCTTACTCGCCGCTGGCCGACGCCACGGATCGGCGCCATCCCATCAACTCCCAGACGCAGATCGACGCTGGCCGACGCCGGATCGGCGCCATCCCATCAACTCCCAGACGCAGATCGACGCTGGCCGACGCCGGATCGGCGCCATCCCATCAACTCCCAGACGCAGGTCGACGCTGGCCGACGCCGGATCGGCGCCATCCCATCAACTCCCAGACGCAGGTCGACGCTGGCCGACGCTGGAGACAGCATTGCGAGGGCACGCGAGGCTCCCATGACTTGCTACCGAGAGAGCCAGGCCGCGAGCACGTTGCCGTGCCGCGGCACCACGAAGAAGCTCTGGGTGAGCCGCTGCACCTGGGGTATACCCAGGCATCGGGCGACTGAAGGAAAAAGTCGAGGCAGCAGTCTTTGCATAGTTTCTGGCCCCTCGGGGTCCTTCACTGGCCTCGGGACCGTCGAAAAACGGCTCGGGACGAAAAGCTGGTCCCATGGGAGTTCTCGAGAGGAGAGGTCGGTGGCTGGCCAGCGTGTCGGCAACTCGAGACGCCGGACGTCTGGGGAGCTCTCGAAACTCCGCGCGGATTGCTGGCGTCGCATGCGCCACCGGGCGGGCCCAGCCAGCGCAGGCCCAAGAAATCCGCACGGAGCTCGAAAAGCGCATGCTTCTGCAGTTTGCTGACGCAGCAGCTGCCGCGGACTCGCTGGCGGGGCCTGCCGCGCCACTCGCTCGGGGAGCGATTCGTCCCCCCCTGAGCAGCTCGCTCCGTCCGCCCCGTTTTCGGCCGCGTCTCCCCCCTCTCCTCCTCGCGCATGTTGGCACAAGTCGCTTTCACGGCATCCCCGCTTAGGCCTCCCATCGTCAGCGCAGGCGCCCCCCTGCCTGGCCGCCGACGCTACACCGCTTACGCCATATGTTTTTCTTCGGCTCGTGGCCACTCGCCCACCCGGGAGTGTCCAAGAGGACGGCGCCCACGGGGGGGGAGGCTCGGGGGGACTGCAGACCATCATGGCCTGAGGCATGTGCGCGGCGGAGGGCGGGGGCGATGGTGGTGTACAGGAGAGGAAGACGAAGAAGAAAAAGAAGGAAGAATAATACTAAGAACAAGAAGAAGAATAATAATAATAATAATAATAAGAGGAAGGAGAAGAATGATAATAGAAATACTAAGAATATTCGGAAAAACAAGAATTGCAGTTTCCATTTCCTCAGAGGACTAGTCACGTCTGACGAAATTCGTTTTGGTCGCAAGATGCTCGAAATGGACGAAACATGAAAGTGCAAAAAAATGTAACATCAATGTAGGAAATTTACCACATTTTCGCATGCGAAAATAGACGCACTGTTACTACTCCGGGAGGGCCTTCAATGCTCGGCTTAAAGCGCTGCTGCCTCCTGCCAAACAACTCCTGGAGTGCGCTGCTGCCCGGGGGTACTAGCCGCGCGGGCTCGAGGAAATGAACCCATCAATCATAATATATTGTGTCATTGTTTATAAGGGAGGAGGAAGCAGAAGAAGGACTTGAATGTATGAATTGAGCACGGGGGTCTTCCCTCACAGAAGGGCGAAAAGGCATGCGTCATGGGGTTCGCCACGCGGGGTCGATAAGCCCTTGGGCCTCGCGGGTCTGCCTGTCACAAGGGTCCGCTTGTCAGAATCTAGAGTCCGCCTATAGCCTATAAGAGTCCGCCCGTGGCCGCCACGCCGCTATTTACTTTTGAGGGACGTGCTCACCCCCCACCCCCCTCATCAGGGCACCGGGAAGGGGGATGCTGGAATAAAGGGCGCCGCGAAGCAAGGCGGTCGAACGACGACGATGTCGGCGCCGATGACGACGACGACGACGACGACGCTGACGGCGTGGCGCGCGGCCGTGGCGCGCCAAGAAGGCGAGGGCCGCCGCGAAAGAACAGAGAAGGCGACAACCGCGACACGCGGTTGCCAACGAAGGCAACCGTTCTTTCTACTCCTCCTGGGGCCGGGGGGGCCCCTTGCCGCCACGGCTGGGGCCGCCCCCGATCGAAACCCTCGTCAGAACGAGCTGGGAGAAGGCGGCGACGGCGACGAAAATGTGAAACACGGGGGGGGGATAAAGGCATGGAGGGAGGGGTCGGGGAGGAGGAGAAGGAAGAAGAAGGAGAGGAGGACGGAACTGGGGGGTGACAAGGGGAGTGGCATCAGCAGGAGGAGAAGGAGGAAGACAGATGAAGGAATGAGAAGGAGGAGTTGGAGGAAGACGAAAAGGAACACGCGGGGCATGGGGGATGAGCGTGGGCCTCCAACTGGCAGCCAACCGAACAGAGATGCACGGCAGCATCAGCGACCATGGAACGTGTCAGGCCCCCCCGGAAGTCCCAAAGCAGCTTGAACAATATCAGAAGTAGCTCTGTACCCCAATCGGATTACCAAGGAACTCGTTAGTGGGCGGAGGGCCAGGGGCCGCCAAGGGGCCCAAGAAGGCCCAAGAATTCGCGTATATCCCGAAGACTGGGAGCCTACTCGTACTCGATACTCGACTCGAGGCCGCGGACACAAGGAGAAGCAGAAAGGGAACAGGGGACAAGGCCTGCGGGACTGTCGGGGACAAGGGGCGCGCGATGCCTGCCCTGGCGCCCGACAAGAGTCAAGAGTCAAGAGTCTGAGTCAAGAGAATGGCCACCTTGTTTATCCAATTGGAAGATGGCGCGCGCCACAATCAAATAATCAAAGCACTACTACCATTGATACTATTAAAGCTCGCTCCGACTTGCGCGCGACGAGCGACGGCCACAAAGCCGAAACATATGAAAAGGAAACAGGAACAGAAAGAGAGAGTCAGAGAGAGGAGTCGAAGTGAGAGAGGGAGAGGGGGGGGAGCTCGGAGAGCGAGAGAGAGGAGAGAGGGAGAGAGAGAGAGAGAGAGAGAGAGAGAGAGAGAGGGAAGTAGAAAGAGAGAAGGACAGACATCAAGAAAGGAACAGAGGTAGAGAAAGAAAGAGAGAGAGAGAGAGAGAGAGAGAGGGAGACGGATATATATATATATATATATCGAGAGAGAGAGAGAGAAACAAAACACAAGAACGAGCCAGGAAATAGGAGGAGTATAACGAGAGAAAGAGAGGGAGAGAGAAACTATAACTAAAGATACAGATAACGGATATATAAGAGATAGGAGAAAGAGGGGGAGAAAGAGAGACAGAGAGAACAGATAGAGGACGAGAGACGCGAGACGAGAGACGAGAGAGGGGAGAGAAGACGGGCCCCTGGGGAAGTCTGGAGAGGAGGGGGAGGTCGGAGAGAAGACTCGGCCAACGCCCAGCCGATCTTTCGTGCCTCGCGGCACGCAACAAACAAGAAACTGGGCGCCTACTTTGTTTTGGCGCCCCCGCTGCTCCCGCTGCCGCCAGCCTTGAGAATTGACGACGTCTCCTGCCACAGCCGGGGCGCAACCCATTCGGCGGCGTTCACGCCCAAGCCCTCATTCACAAACTTCTCCACCTGCGAGCTGATCGCCATGCTCAGCACCTCCTGCTTCATGCCCGCCCTCCTCTTGAAGACCCGCGCGAGCATGGCCTAGGGCTAGGGGGGGCCCCCCAACGAAGAGGGAAAGGAGCGAGGACGACAAGAGACAAGAGGGAGCAAACTATGGGAAACTGGCGAACAGGGGAATGAGGAGGACGGGAGAGGAGGGGGACGAGTAGGAGGAGGAGGAGGAGGAGGAGGAGGAGGAGGAGGAGGAGGAGGAGGAGAGGGAAGAGGAGGAGGAGGAGGAGGAGGAGGAAATAACACCTGATGCCAAGTGGCCCGAAGGGGGAGGGGGGCGAAAAGGAGGAGGAGCAACGGCAGGAGGAGGAGGAGAAGCAGGAGGGGCAGGGGGAGGAGAGGGAGGGGGAGAAGAACAAAAAGGCGGGGGGGGGAACAGGGGGGGCCACGAGAAAGGGGAGGACCACGAAGCGGACGAGGAGCGGAGGAGGAGGAGCGAATGAGGAGAGCCCCCGACATTTCTTTTCAAATTCAGCCCTGGCGGGGACGGGGGCGGCGGGACCAGGGGGGAAGGGGGAGGGGGTGGGGCGGGCGGTGGAGAAAGGACATCTGCGGCCTTAGAAGCCCCGCCCCCCCCCCCACCCCCCCTCTCGCAGGCTCCAAAGAAGGTGTGAAAATTAAGAAGTCTTCACTTCAATGGGGGGCTGGGTGGACGGGCGAGAGGGGGGGCGAATTCTGAAGCCGCTTCAGCCTTGGCCCCGAATCCCCAAAGCCCCCAAAGCCCCACCCCACCCCGAAGAGGCTCAGCCAGAGGCTCAGCCCCGAGGCCCTCGGGCGGACTATCCTCATACGTTTTGGCGTCGCTCCCCACCCTCCCTTGCCCATCTCATTCGCTCATTCGTGACGCGCGGTGGGAAGAGAAAGAGGCGAGATTAATTTGATTGAAAACATGTGTGAACGGCCTCGAACTTCGTCGTGTGGCCAGCGCAATACACCCTGAACCAATCCTCGTGGTTCTGCTCTGTCGGGGCCTCCGCGCCCTCGGCAATGTACGGCTTGTACTTCCGGACAACGGCCTTCAAGTCTGCATGCGCCTGCTGGGGCGGAGGCGAAAGGGAGGGGAGGGGTGCGATGCAAAGGCCCGAGGAGTCAATATCCCAGGTCTGGGAGGGGAGGGCAAGGGCGGCAAGGGCCACTGTCAGACAGAAGCCAAAAGAGAAAATAACAATGATCAAACTGCGAAGACGCAGCCATTCCATCAATGGCAGCGAGCTGAGATCGGAAGAGATGATTGGAACAAGATCTGCATGGGCAACGTCGGTGGTGGTGGACCAAGTAGAAAGCAGAAACAATAAAAAGTAGAATTGGACCGGCAGGGAACTAGGACTAGATACTAGGTGCTAGGCTACTAGGTACTAGGGCCCTAGGGCCTGAGGCCTGAAAGCTCTGAAAAGGATATCAAAGGGCTCGGTGCCGAGAGGCCGGCGGGGATAAGAGCGCGCGCAAATTTTGGCCGCCGCGCACCTTCTGCATGATCTTGCTATGCTTTGCGATCTCGCTGCCGTTCGCCTCCATCAAGGTCCCAGACGCGCGCTCGAGCAACTCATCGAAAGTGCCCTCAAAACCATCTGACCAACCCTTCGGGAGTAATGGCTCGAGAATCTCAGAGGCGGCAACCACCGCGGCCTCCGCCTCGCGAATCGCGACTGGTCCGCGAGCGGCGAGAATGCTGGCAACCTGCTTGGACACCGTATCATCGTATGACTTCACCATCTTTTCCATCCACACGCCTGCCTGGCCATTAACTTTGCCACTGAACTTCTTAGCCATTTCAAGAATGCCTTCGTGGTTCTGAAGGATGGTATCATAGTTCTGGGAATCGCTTGAAACCTGGATGTGTTGGACAACGCACGAGTAGGTCTTCGAAAACTTCAGGATCGAGTCGACGTCAGCCTTGGAGTTAACGCTGTCTTGCGGCAAGTTTTTCAAGCGACCGATCAACTCCAAGACTTGAATGCCTGTAGTTGCGTCCTCCAGGAAGCCTTTCTCAAGAGCCAAAGCCACGAACTTCCACAAGAAAGGGCGGCCCTCCAAGAAATTATCGCGGAGCTCGTCAGAGAGATCCAGTGAGGCAGCGGCCTTCAAGCACGCGCCGAGAGTTTTTACCTCGTCTGGGCTGCTCATGCTTGTCGCAAGCGCCGCCTTCAGAGAACCAGCGACGTCCTCCCTGAGCCACGCGGACCTGGATTCAGACATTTCCATGAGGATATGTGCGATGGTATCGGAGTCAATCCCTGCCTTCTTCATAACCTGCAAAAGCTCCTGGTACGTGGCGCAGTCGCTGATCTTGTCCGACACGGCTTCGCGCTTCTTGGACGCTTCCCAGAAACGCCCGAGCAACTTGACCATGTTGCTGCCCAGCTCGTCCATGGCCCCGTCTCGCAAATGCTTTTCCATCCTGGAATGAGCTCACACACTTCTTTGATCTTGCCCAAAAGCTCGGGGGTCAGCGCCTGCCCCGGGTCCATCTGCTTGCAACGCTCGGCGAACGGCTTGGCGATCCCGTCGTCGACTGCGCAAGACGCCTTCCAGGTGCTGCGAGCTTCGATCCAGAATGTAGATGATTTCATTTCGTTGGCAATCACTCTTGCCGCCTGCCCGAGATCGCCGAGACTGCTCGTTCCCTTCTTGATCCTCTCTGGAAATACGAAATGTACATCGCTGGCAGAACTCCCGCGGTACGCAGGGCGCGGGTCCACCAGTGCCAAGAAACCGCGGGCCACCATCGAACAATTTGCGACGGCCTCGTCAATTCCGCCCACGTCAACGTCCTCTGGTAATTCATCTTTCCCAGTCTCCCACGCGTTTGCCTCATCCAGCACCATTTCACATATTTGCTTCAACGAGTCGTGGCCCTTTTTATCTAACACGAGCTTCATGAAAGCCTCGCACAAGAAAGCATTGTAGTAATGAGTCTGGAAAAGCTTCGCGCCATCGCAATGCTCGGACTTCGAGGGCAACAATTTGCCAAAAGATGGAAAGTTGACGTCCCAATCATCGTCTGTGACGCTGCTGAAGGCCATCGCTTCAGCCCACTGGTCAAGCCTCTTCGCGTCCATCATCTCAGCTGAATAAATCTCAGTCGCAGCCAACTTGTGGTTGATGGGCATATCCTCCTGCTGGGCCTCAATTATCCCAAAATGCTTCACGACCTGCGCGTGCTTCATCGACTTGCTCATGGGGAGCGCCAAGGTCTGCGCCGTCCTCAACGCCAGAGATCGCGCCAACGTGGTCTTATACTCCATTGACTCCGTCTGGCCTGAATCCTTCAACGTCTTGCAGCGGCGCTCCAACTTAGTCAGACAAGACAGGCCCCTGGCTTCCAAGAAAGTATCCCAGGGTCCCAGACAGGGTCTCAAGGTCAGGACCTGCCTCCTCGGGCTCGCTAGGGAGCCGCCGGGGCAATCCTGGATTGATTTTGGCGGGGCCCGCTGGGGCCTAGGGCCTAGGGCCTAGCAAGACCCACGGCCGTCTGATTTCACGGACGCGCGCAAGGATCGGGCAAGAAATGTACATCATATTAAATGTCTGGTCGTGCCCCCCCTTCCCCCCCCAAATCGTCTCCTTCCAACAACGCTGGTTGCCGCCTCGGACACTCCCCAAACAGGCTCGCCATTCGTCTTGACATCGTGCTTTGGATGAGCCGGCGCGGGCACGTAGGACGCAGGACATGCCAACAAGGCCAAACTTTGCCCTTAACCTTTTGCTAGCTAGATTCTAGAGGGTGGTTGGTTAGCGAGATGCTTCTCCACGCTTGTCATAAGCCCCCCTCTCTCCTGGACACAGAACTTGGGCAGCCTCTTTCCGCCCACTCCACCGTTCCCCGCACTGGGCCTGCCTGACCTACCTACCTCTACTACTCTATATTCTTTATTCTTTATACACCAAACCCCTGCAAAGACCCCATGAAAAGACAATGCGAAAACCCATGCAAAGATCCTGGCAGAGACCCTCCTCAATGCAAATAGCCGATAACCTCGCGCAGACCCTTCCAAGGGGCCAAGGGCCACAAGGGCCAAGGGCGGGACCTCCCTCCCGAAGCGGAGCTGAGGAGAAATAAAAGCCGCGAGAGGCGAGAGTCGGCGAGGGGGCCCTGAGTTCATACATATTGAATTATTGAGAGCCCACCTCGCCCGAAGTGGGCCCCATCGGTCGAATTTGGCCCCTGGGGCCCTCTCAAATTCTGGCCCCTGGGGCCAGAAGGGATCGTGGATTGCACGATGCTGACAGGCCGCTTGGAAGCCGCCGGGAGGCCCGTTCGCCGCACCTGAACTCATAGCTCCTTCAGCGTTCAATGTGAAAGCAGACTGGCGAAGAATAACGACGCCCGATCTGGGAACGCAGGCTCTGGATGAGCTGAGGCTAGCGGCTTGCGATCAAGAACGACGATCTGGAATTCTGAGGACAGGGCGCCGACTGCGGTCCTGCCCAACTTCGTCTTGCCCAGCAAGAGGTCTTGGATATTGTCGTCCTCGCCATCCGCGCCAACGAAGGAAACCCCTGAAGCATTGCTCCTCCCGCTGCGTTTCGCTGCCACTCCATCCAAATCCAAGTCGACGATCTCGGTGTCTGCTGCTGCTCTCTTGCGCCCTCTGCTGCCACGGCTGCCGCCTCTGCCCCTGCTGCCGGCGGGGGCCGCCGCGCCGCGTCGGCCAACGCGCTGCGGAACCGCCTCAGTTAACGCGTCAGCCAACATGAGGCCGCGCCGAGGAACAGGAGCAGCAGAGCCAACGGTAGGACCAGTGGGCTGGACGTAGGCGTGGGCAGAGATGTTCCTGCCGTTCAATTCCTTGTCGACCCCTTGCTGCAAAGCCGCAAAGTCGTTCATCTTGCTTCGGCTCTCCGGAGTTTTCAAACTCGAGCGCACCATGGCGGCCATCTTCTCGTTCACGAGTTCGAAGGTCTCAGTTGCTTGCTCTGCGCGCAAGGCCTTGTCCATGGGCAGCGTATACTGCACCATCGCGTTCTGCAGGTCGCTGTAGAGCTTGACTTTGGAACATATAAGATTCGGTGGCGGCGGTTTGCCCCCTACGATCTTGATCAAGATGCCGCCCACCTTTTCGCCATCAGTGTTCTTCACGCCCTTCGCGACCAAGAGCCCGCTGACACTGGGCGGGTCCACCTTGTAGAACGACAAGAAACCCAACCAACCATTGAAAGGCACGCGGCGTAACGGCGTAGAGTTTGGTCTCTCTTCTCTCGCACCACCCCTCTCCCCTGGGCCCCTGGCGCCTCTCGAAGGCCCTGCGATCATCAGAAATCAAAGAAAAGTCTCTGGCAGAAACCGCGCGGAGATCCCGCTCTAAGTCACGAGCCTTGGCCCTAGGCAGGCCCTAGGCCGGCCCTAGGCCCTAGGCCCTAGGCCCAAGCCGCGCCACAAGCCCTGCCCGGAGGCCCTGGGGCCCTGCAGGACGGACGGAGATCTAGAGAGTATGCCCTAGGCCCTAAGCCCCCTAGCAAGCCCCCAGGCCCTAGGCCCTAACCCTATACCCTATTGATTGCCTATGGGCGTGGCCCCGACCCTGCTAACCAAACCCCTGAATGCCTTGAGTGTCTAAGCCTAAGAGTCTAGCTAGCAGCACCTAGAACGGCAAATTCCTGCGATATCCCACCAACCTGGCGAAATAATCGTTCGCACACCACGCTGGCTGAAGTGACGCTTCGCCCCCATCAGCGCTGGTTGGAAGCGAAATGGCCTGCATCACTCCTCGCTGTTTGGTTTTGCGTCGTTCGACCCCCCGAAATTCGGCGGGGGGGGGCGCAGTGGCTGGCGGTGAAGCGCGAAGCGGCAACGATGCTTATTCTCCACGAACCAATACTTCGAATACATCTGCAGCCCGAGAAGAGTCTGCGTGCCCACGTGTCCGGGGGCGAACCTGACCAAACTACGATCATGAAGTGAAGCCTTCGCCCCATCGAACACAGTCTTGAAGATTCCGCCCTGGCCATACTGAAAAACGATCTGATCCCAGGAGAGCAACGGCCACGCCTCGCCTGCAAGGCCGCAATCAGAACACTTGTCGTAGACGGGCTCGCGGGTGACATCGCCGGACTCGGAGATGACATCCTGGTACTCGTACCACTCGCCGCCCCGTGAACTGATTTCCTCGGGAGTGGCAAAAAGCTAGAATCGCCGTCCCCCCTTGTTTACTGTGACCCTGTCGACGTGTTCAGCATTGCACTGCATGTGTCCATGCCTTCGGCGAGCGACGCTGGACGGGATCGCCAATGGGCCAAGCGCGCCCTCTGCCATCGGCCATCGGCCCTCGGCCCTCGGTCAGAGTCTCAGAGGTGATACCATCGGCCCCTCGGAGCCCCATCAACCGGATAGAGTGAATCGCCCCCTCGGAAGTCATCTCGAAACTGCCCCCCTCTGCCAACGGCTGCGCTGGAAGCTGTAAAAGTGCGGGGGGCACAGGTGGCGGGTTTCGCGGAAAGGATTCAGGTGCCAGCGGGGGCTGGGGGCCAGGGCAATGTGAATACATAACAAATGTGCGAGGACGTTCGCAGCTATGTTCATGACTGGTTCTGCTTCGAAGCGCAATTGCTGTTCAAGGAATGCGACGCGATCTTTACTTAATGGAGGCGCAAGGCCCAAGGCGCGCCTGGTGAGTCTGCCGCTCTAGAATTGGATAGGAAAGGAAGATGGAAGAGGGGGCGCCTGACGCCAGGCCCGCCTCCGAGCCGCCCTCCGCCTCCAACGCCCCCCGCTCCCCCCCCTCCTCCTCGCCCCCCCCTCCTCCTCCTCATCATCATCATCATCATTGTCCTCCCCCCTTCCTCCTCCTCTCCCGATCGGACGACGATGAGTGAGATCCTCGGCCGTCACCTTACCTATTGCGCAGCGCAATTCAATTCCTGCGCGACGCTTCTTGGCGACGCCCCTGCTGCCCGCTGCCGCCTTGGCTGGCGCCGCATCACGAGCCTCCTCATCTTTTTCCTCGTCCTCCTCGTGCTGCCCCTCCTCCTCGCCCTCCTCGTCGCCCTCGGCGAACTGACCATCTTCATCTTCATCGCCCCAATTGTCTTCTTCCTTCAAAGGGATATTTGCCTCTGCCGCGGCCTCCTCAGCAACCTCATGCCCCTGTCCCACTGGGGCTGCAAACCTGGAGGGTCGTTTCAATCTTGCTGCAGACCTGGCAGCGCCTTTGCCGCGGGCGCCCTTGATGGACCCTTTCCGAGCAGTGGGCCCCCCGCGAACTGAACTGGCCGCCGCGACGCCAGGCTCAGTCCTCGAACGCTTCACCATGGCACTGTTGGATGAAAGGAAACAGCGCGAACAGCAGCAGGTGGCAGGTCTGAGGCAAAATCACCTCGGACCTCGGGACTTCGGGCCACGCGCGCTGCGAATGTAGCCCGAACACATGAAGCCATTGTGAAGCTCAAGGCTCAAGGCTCAAAGCCGAACGCCGAACATGCCCTCGGGCCCTCGGGGCCCCCGGCCGTCGCCGCGCGAAGCGTGCGGGGGGGGGGGGGGGGGGGGGGGGGGGGGGGGGGGGGGCGGGGGGGGGGGGGGAGGGGGGAGGGGGAGGAAGGGAGGAGGATGGGGCGTGGCCTGGGCGGCCTGGGGGGGGGGGAGGGTCGAGAAGAAGAGCTGCCCTCCCTCTTTATCTTCATGGCAATCAAATCTCAAGTCAGCATCCCTCTCAACCTCTCTATCTACCCCTCTACCCCCCTCTACCCCTCTACCCTCCACTGCCCTCCTACCTCCGACCCTCTACCCCCTCCCCCCCCCCCCATCCCCCACCGCCACCCCTCGTCACTGCCCCGTCCCTCCCTCCCCACCTCCCGTCCTCAGTGGCCACGCGCCCCTTCTGGGCTCCTGGAGAAGAAAGGAAGGGAGTCGAAAGGGAAGAAGGAAGAAAGGGAGGAGCAAGCCGCTGCCCATGCGAGACGGGCCCCGGGCGCATGACAGCGACGGGATGCAATGCGACAAGATATGACCGAGACAATGATGTTTTATTTTCTGCGACCCGATGTGGTAGTAACGATTGTTGTTTGCTGAAATCGACGCGTCACGTGTCTCAGCCAAACTACCCTACCCTACCCTACATCCTACATCCTAACGCCTAGCACTACGGTGAAAACGGATGGTATACAGCTGCGGCGCGTACACAACAAGTAACAAGCCAGACAAACCATGCATGACATGGGCCCGACGTGAACCAAACTGGAACAAAACGCTGAAAACCTCATGCGCAACGACGCAGTCGAGCGTCGAGCGCCGAATCGAGCGACAAACGAAGTCATGAGTCAAGGCCCAAGGCCCCAAGGCCCAAGGCACTGGAGAAGGCAGCGGAGGGAGGGGTGGAGGATGGAGGAAGGAGAACGTCTTCTCAATTCTCACAGGCTCACAAGCTCCTCGCGGCCCTCGC